TCTTTCCCCCCCCCCCCCCCCCCCCCCCCCCCTTTCTCTCTCCAGAACCCGCGCGTGTCCCCATATAACACGCCAATTGTCCGCGGGTGACGAGCCACCCCCCCAAATCCCGGTCGTGGGAAAGGGCTGTTTAGTTACTCACAGCAGCACCCTTGGCCTTGGCCTTTTCGGAAACCTCCTTAACGGTCTTCTCCAATGCGGGCGGGTTGGCACCAGCGACACTGCTGGTCTTGTCGCCGTTCTCGAACAAGTAGAAGGTGGGGAGAGCGTGGACGCCGAGCTCCATGGCGAGATCGGGAACGTCATCGGTGTCGAACTTGGCGAAGGCGTAGGTGTTGTCGATGCCGAGGGCGTCGGAGTGCTTGACGAACATGGGCGAGATGGCCTTGCAGGGACCACACCAGGATGCGCTGGCCTGGACAGCGACGAAGGGGGTTTTCTTGATGAGCTCGTCAAACTGATCCTTGGACGTGATTGTGATGACGGGCATTTTGGCGGTGTTTTTTTAAAGGGTGTTGTAGTCTTGGACGCGGTGATATCGGATGTATGCGGTTGAGGTTGAGGTTAAAACGGAATCAAAGAGTCTCACTTTGGCTGGAGTGGGGCGGATGTCGCGTAATATGGGCAGGCTTAAAACTTGGTTGAGCTATTTTTTCTGTCGCTGAAAGCGCTGCAGGGAAGGTGCTAGCGTGCGATATAATCTGTGATTGTACAATGCAAATTGGAGTACAGGATCTTCCTCTTCCGGGACTGTGTTGTGAGTGTGTTTGAGGAGTGCCTCGAGATTTTGGGCTGGGAAACAATAAAAAGCAAAAAACGTTTCAATTATCCAGTGTCTGTTTATATACTCCGTACCTGGTGACGTAAATACGGATGGCCATGCTTCGCGGGACATGGATGGCGCAATCTGGATGATTTGGAAGATGACAAATGAGCCCAGGTGCCATCTTGTGCTCGGAATGTCGCAAGCTCCGACCCATGCGCCGATGTCCAGATACTTGGGAGCCTATAGGGGCTTAGCTCCTTGGACAGTACGTGTGTAAAGTACTTATACCTTGGCATGCACGATGAGCCGACCTGGCCCTGAAAATGATGTGCATGGAGGGGCATTGCGACCTGGAGGGGCACAGATGACAAAACAAGATATTATGACAAACAAATATTGAATGATGAAATTATGTCAATTGACCAGCGGCTGGTACTGTCTTGCTTGGGTGCAGAAACAAGAAGCCACCGGCCAGATGGGCGGCCAGACAAAAGCCGACATCCTTCTCCTGCGCGGCTGTCGGGCACACGAAAGCAGCGCATCTGCCATAATGTCGGTAGCGAATCGCAAAAGACCCCTGATGTTCTTTGGTGAGACCAGCGCCTTTACTCCGGACATTGTTCATCTACACATTGAGATGTCGGCCGCCGAATCCAGCCCGTACCACCGCAGAGTCGCACCGCCACATACTATATTCGTGTCAGCCACACGCCACCTTCATGGGGACGGAGGGGCAGAGGGCAGTCCCTGCAAAAGTTCGAAGGGGCCAAAAAAATATTCTGCCAACCCGATACGGCCTTATCGGTCAAAAAAGTGTGCTTGTGTGCTTGACCTTTCCTCCATGTCAACGGCTAGTGGTTGGGGACAAGGAAAGGAAACGACCGAAGAGTTGTAACAATTATTGCTATAGCGCATTTCCAGCGACGTATTCCCAACTCAAACAAGCACAATGTCGAAGCGTGTCGCCGACGAGAATGGCGACGGCCCGCTCAAAGGTGGTGACCGCCCTGAGGCCATGGATATCGACGACAAAGAAATGGGCGATTTCGAAGACGAATTCGAGGACGAGTTTGAGAGCGAGGACGAGATCTTGGAGGCTGGTGTTGATGGTCGACCTGATGCCGAGCGCGAAGCCGAAGAGAAGGCCGGTAAGAAATCCTCCCAGCGCAGGACTATGCGGCCCTGCCCAACTGGTGATTGCGTTGGCCGCCATTCTGCAATTGCGACAAAATGACTGACGTGAAACCTCTCCAGCCGCCATGGACGTTGACCAAGGCACCTTCATTGTCGGACGGAACAAGCTAGAACCTGGGCAGACCCTAGCGCCTGATTTGTCCACCTACGAGATGCTTCACAACCTCAGCACGCCCTGGCCCTGTTTGTCCTTTGACATTGTCCGAGACGCCCTTGGAGACAACCGAAAAGCTTACCCTGCCACCATGTACATGGTCGCTGGCACACAGGCTGAGACAGGCAAAGCCTCCGACAATCAGCTGATGGTCAACAAGTTCAGCGGCCTGAGCAGAATGGAGAAGCATGACGACGAGGACTCTGATGACGATGACGACGACGAAGATTCCGATCCCATTCTGGAGAGCAAGTCTATTCCTCTCAACTCCACCACCAACCGTATTCGCGCACACCAGATTCCCAGCAGCGAGCCAGGACGCCCCCCGACGACCTTGACTGCCACCATGACCGAGTCGACCAATGTGTTTATTCACGACGTCACCCCTCACCTAGCCTCATTTGACAACCCCGGGACTACCATCACGGCTCAGAAGAACAAGCCCATTTCCACCATTCGCGCGCACAAGTCTGAGGGCTACGCTGTCGACTGGTCCCCCATGATCCCCAGCGGCAAGCTTTTGACCGGCGACAATGACGGTCTCATCTACGTGACGACCCGTACCGACGGCGGCGGCTGGGTCACCGACAACAGACCTTTCCAGGGCCACACCAGCAGTGTCGAGGAGATCCAGTGGTCACCGTCGGAGCAGTCCGTGTTTGCTTCAGCTTCCAGCGACGGAAGTATTCGTATCTGGGACGTTCGATCAAAGTCCCGAAAGCCGGCCATCACCGTCCAAGTTTCCAAATACGATGTCAACGTCATGTCCTGGTCCCGACAAACCAGCCACCTGCTCGCCTCTGGAGCCGATGACGGCACCTGGGGTGTCTGGGACTTGCGGCAGTGGAAGGCCAGCACCGACAAGCCTCAGCCACTTGCCAGCTTCGACTTCCACAAGGAGCAGATCACCAGCCTGGAATGGCACCCCACCGACGACTCCATCATGGCCGTCGCCGCTGGCGATAGCACCGTCACTCTGTGGGATCTGGCGGTGGAACTGGACGACGAGGAGAGCAAGGACACTGCTGGGGTCAAAGACGTGCCGCCGCAGCTGTTGTTTGTGCATTATCTCAAGGATGCCAAGGAGGTTCACTGGCACCCCCAGATCACCGGGAGCCTGGTGGCGACCGGCGAGGAGTTTAGCGTATTCCGAACAATCAGCGTGTAAGGGGGCTGAGAATGACGATCAATGATGAAAAGGATTTTGTATTTGTGAAATTTACAATGAATAGATATCCCCCTTGAAGACTGGGTGTTTGGACCTTGCAATGTTGAGCCATGTTGCACGGTTTTTCCCCCCCCGCCAGCAACATGGCGACAGAGACTTTCTTGTCAATACGACTGAAACTGAAGCGAGTATTACTGAAGAGGAAGTGACAAGGCCTAGAAATGTATCTGATGGATGTGCTGAGCTGGGCTACGTCGTCTGTGTGGGAGGGGGCAGTAGGGGTCAGGACTCGCTCAGGAGTGAACTAACCCTCCAGTGAGTCTTGTCACGATGAGGAGCCAACTCGTGACGTCTCACTCCGCGCCAGGTGGTGTATTGGTGCAAACCTGGGTCGAGACGGCAACGTATTGATGTATGATTTACTTTGAGGTGAATGTGTTCAATGCATGCAGCAGAGAAATCATAACCGCAGACATATCAAACAGCGATAGAAGATGGACACAAAAAAAAAACCGTACAAGGGGTATTCAATTCCTATGGACAATACACGCTGAACAATACATACACAACAGCCACGGGAGGGGCATCCAGTCCTTTCTAATTCTTTTCCGAGGCAGGATCAGGCGTCTCCGAATCCGTACCCACGTTCGCTTCTGCACCGTGATGCCGCACCCCCGTCACGCCAGGCACAAACTCCCCATTGCCCAGAACCGGGGGGCCGTGGAAATTGCGGCGCGCATAGGCAAAGTACCAGGCAATTGCAATAGCAGCAAAACCAGCAAACACCACGGATGCATAGTTCATGGTGCTAGGGTCCACGGGCAAGGAGACGGGCATACAGAAGATGACGACGGCAAATACGATCCACACGACGCAGAGCATGTTGATGATTGTACCAAACTTTCCGAGGGAGAAGGGCGAGCTCTTTACCAGCTCTCTTCGGCGGACAAGCAGCACCAACACGGGGACACCATATGACATGGACAGACAGATAGTCGCGACGCCGGTGAAGGAGTTGAACGCTGCCGAGGAGCCAAAGTAGATGCAGCCGAGGACGCAGTCGACCACGGTGGAGAGGGCGAGAGCCCACAGCGGCATGCCGAGCTTCTTGTCGACGCGGCTCCAGAGGTGGTACCCGGGGATGGCGCCGTCACGGGCAAACGCGTAGGTGCAGCGGGATGCGGCCGTCAGGGCACCAATGCCGGCGAACATGAGGATACCGAGAATCAGGAACAACAAGCCAAACCCGCCGGCGGCAGATCCCGTGACTGTCTTGAAGAGCAAGCCAATGGGCTGAGCCTCCTGGAGCAACATGGCCACATCGGGCAGGACAAACAGCAAGGGGACGATGTAGATGACACCCGTGATGCCGGCGGCGACGACAGAGAGCACAATGGCCTTGGGGACCTCTCGTTCGGGGTTCTGGACTTCTTCACACATGGCGGCGACCATGCCGTAGCCGGTCAAAGTGTAGGCAGCTGAAAACGGGACAAACGGGGGCGAAAGTTAGCAAAGCACGTCTTCACATGTAGAGCAAATCAAAATTTCGACAATGGGTCTTCTTTCCCAACTTACGCTGCAGCAATCCGACGAAAAACGACCATCCCGTAGGCCACCCACTCGCCGAAGCGTCATAATGGCCAAACACAAAGGCGCCCGAGCGGCGCGACGGGGCCATGACCAACAGTGTAACCATGATGATGAGCACACTGGCGGCGGTCCAGTAGATGCAGGCCTTGTTGATGAGGTCCAGATACCTCGAGCCAAAGGCATTCACGGCGGCGCACACCAGCATGACGGCCCAGAAACACAGCACCGTCTGCCACTGGCTGGCGACGTAGTCCGGGTTGAAGATGGAAATGGCGCTGAGAATCAGCTGGGCGCCGGAGAAGTTGATGCTCAGGGTGACGGTCCAGTTGCCGACGAGGGTCAGCCAGCCGTCGACGAAGCTCACCATGGGCGCCCAGCGGCGGGTGCTCAGCATGGCGGACCAGTAGTAGACGCCGCCGGCGGTGGGAAAGACGGCGCAGATCTCGGCGAGCGAGGCGGCGATGCAGATGGATATCAGGGACACGAGCACCCAGCCCCAGAGGACGGCGACGGACTGGCCGTTGTACAGCGTGATGTACAGCGTCGTGGAGAGGCCAAAGGGGACGGCCATGATGGCAAACGACAGGCCGAGGATGCTCATCATGCTGAGGTTTCGGGGCAGCTCGCCCTTGTAGCCGAGGCTGGCGAGGGCTGCGTCGGCGGCATCGCTGGCGGATGGGCGACGGGGTTCCATGGTTGAGGCGTGCGATGCTTCGGGCTTCATGGCGGTGGGTGAGGACGATGGTGGTGATGATTGATTGTTTAGGCACGATGGAGCGCGCGCGCGTGGCTCTCTCTCTATCTCGAGGACAGAGGTGCGCTGCGAAGCCAGCGATGTCCCGAAGAATGGAACTCGAAGAGAGAGACGGAGAGAGACGAGAGAGGGGGGGTCGACTCCTCTTGAACACTACCAACACTCGGGTGTCGCCAAGAGGGACGATGCCCTTATCTTTATGTCCAACAGAGCTCCACAATGCATAATCAATTGATGTCAATTGAAGGGCTCCCCAACCTGTCGAATGCAGACATGGAAGGAATTGACTCACGTGTGGGTGGCGGCTTCTTCCTTCTGGTATCGCGCTTAGTGGGCAAGCGACAGGGGTGCCCAAAAGATGGGGGGCTGCAAATAAGATTGCGGAGTTGGAGGGTCAACGAGATGCGGGGGAACACAGTCGAGACCTGGGGAGACCTGGGGGAAAGAAACAGTGTCTGGTTCAGTCTGGTACGTATTACGTATGTACGTACATTGTCGCAGAGCTGACTGTCTGCAAAGACGACTCGACACAGGACCAGGCAGGGCCCATGCGGAGAGGCTGACCTTGGCCGAGAGGGCAGAACGCGACCGAGATGAAATTGCGCTGCTGAATCCGCAGCTGCGCAGAACAACGATGAGGATGGATGGCAGACAATAGCCAGGCCGAGCGAACCGAGTTTTCTGGGGTTGATGATGCTTGGCCGGTACTCCGTACTCACGATGGATATCCATCCATCCACATGTACTGGAGGCATCGCCAAGTCGCAAGCAGGCACAAAGCTGCGTCCGTACGCCATGTGGCAATTCCATCTAAAGCCGGCCAGGGCTGGTGTCAATAGCGTCTGCCACATCGGCCAGTCCAACCAGTTGACTGTTGAATGGGTTCCCAGACGGGCTTCTCAGACCGCGCCCGAATCGGAATGCTTGGATGTGCGCCACTTGACCGTGCGTTTTGTGAGACAGCACAAACCACAGTAGCCGCGTACAGTAGCCGCGCTGTGCTTCGAGAAAACGCCCAGTCGGACAGGTGTGTCGTGCGACGTCGATCGCATTGCCGCTGTGCATGGTGATGTTTGGCGGCGCTGAAACCGTACCGTGGGCTCTGCGCCTTTGAGATACGGAAGGATGACGATGTTGGCTAAATGAAAAACCCCCTTTCTGGCGTTACGGAATACGGTAGCCGCGATTGATTGTGGCATTCTGGTCATCAGATGTGTCAATGGTGGATGCTGTGATGATAGTCTTGCGTCGGTCGCGGTACGTAATTATCTTTGCTGGCTGGTCTACCAGCCCTGACGAATCTCTATCTCGCATATCTTGGCACTACTAATAATAACTGCCCCGTTGCTATCTGCGGCCCCATCATCCATGCCTACCCCTGGTCGTGCATTTGTGGCCCCCTGGCTCGGTGAGATGCCATGATTGAGAATTGAGACGTTGCCGCGCTGATATCAGGGTGGTGATGGGTGAATCCACGACGTATTGCTAGCACGTGTACCTTTTGCTCAAGACGTGTCCGGTGCAAATTGGGTTCAACCCCTTAGATATCGTTCTTGTCATGATGACGCAGTGTGACGAGCGAGTTGGCTTCGGCACAGCAACTACAAACATATGGATAACCTCATTAGACATGGCAACCAACCTGCAGTCGCATTTCACATGTCTAGTTGTAGAATAAGCAGGCATAGTGCGTCACATGGCAAGGGCACATTATCTCATGAGATGCCAGAGACACACCATGTTTTTTTTATGAGACCACTCTTTCGGCTCTGGAGCATGAGTTTATTTGAAACCAAACCACACAACAAACCCCTTTTGCTCATGCAGCAACCAGCCACAAAATTATTATGGAAGACGCAACGACGCCAAATATCAGTTTCCAGAACAACCGCAACAAGCCAACACAATCTATCCATCGCTAGCTCACATGCTCCACCGACTCGGGAACCCCCCTTTGCTCCGGGCCAAGCTACGAGTCCTCGATATCAAACCCAGTGTGCCCATTATCCTTTATTCCCTCGCCATCTGCTTCGATACTTTGACGTACTCCCCCCCTCGGGAGAAAATACGGAGTCAATATCCTCCAGTCCAATGTTGCTCGTCTTGGGATAAAAAAGTGCAGTCGGCACGAGCAACAGATTGGCAACTCGAGACACACCATGGCCAATTTCAACACGTAGCTCCTGCAATCTTTTGATTCGTTTGCTCGACCAGTATCTGTCCCCAAGTCTCTGATGCGTCCACGCGGCTACGATGTAATATAAAAAGCCAATTGCGTCGCCATGAACATCAGATACGTCCGCAGTGTACCTGTCCGTGACAACCGGCGTCATCAGCCACGGCAATAGTGAAATCCCACAACCAGTCTGAGCACATGCAGATAGCCGCGCCTCGAGAGGTAGACGAGCGAAGTTAACGCCGCCGACTCGGTTCATGAACAAGCCCGTCCCCTTGCGAAGAGCACTCTGCATCTCGTGCGGTGGTGGCCCCCGTCGAACATGGCACAAAAGGACGTCTTTTGGTCGGCGGACGCTTCGAGCTCAAGGGCTCTCTCTAGTGACGGCTGCTCGCTCTTCCACAATGCAGCCCTGTTGTGCTTTTACCCACCTCCCACCCCCGACGAGCGGTCAGGATGCCAAGGCCACTCATTAATTGA